CGAAGTGGGGTCGCGAAGGGGGGGGTTCGTGGGCGGGGGTATTGTTTGGGGGGTCAAGGGTGAGGTAGTGTCGAGGGCGGGGTCATGGTAAAAACCGGGGAAGTAACACCTAGGTGTGAAAATCCCCCTCCAGCCGCTGGTCCTAGACCAAAACACCCCCCAGTGGAAGGCCCAAAAAACCGGAAGGGACCCCCCAGCCGCATGCCTTTTTCCGGGAAAAGGGGACCCCCCACCCTTTTTTTTGACTATTATATTATATATATAATATATATAAAAATAAAAAAATATATATATAATAAATATATAAATTATATTAATATATATATATATTTTATATCCCCGTGCCAATATGTAAAACGGGTAAAATTAGCAAGAACTCTTTTAAAAATTAAGTCCTTTCAAAAATTTTCTCTTATACTTTAAAGATATATTTTTTTCATTAATGTTAAGTAAAAATTTTTAATTTGCCCAAAAGAATCTTAAAAAAACTTACCAAACCCCTTATTATAACAAGAACAATTTATTTTACCCAAACCCCAACTAAATATATCTTAGATTTGTTTACAGTAATTTAATACTAAAAAAACACAGTAAAATTTATATTTTTTTCGTGGGCTCAGAATTTTTTTGGCAAATTATTGCATGCAAAATTTTTTCCTTGTCCTATAGGGCAAGATAGCGTTGTATTTAAGCAAAATTGCAATTTCTGCCATTCGGCACAATATATATATATATTATTTATATTATAAAATATATATAATATATATATATATTATATATATAATAATAAATTATAATAATATATATATTATATATATATATTTGTCGTGCCGAATATTTAAAAAATGGCCACTTAGCAAGAACTCATTTAAATTAAGTCCTTTCAAAATTTTCTCTTATACTTTTAAAGATTATTTTTTTCATTAATGTTAACAAAAAAATTTTTAATTTTATACCTAAAAATCTTTGAAAACTTTTCCCAACCTTTTATAACAAAACGCAATTTATTTTAGCCTAACCCAAAATAAGTATTTTTAAATACGTTTACAATAAATTTTGACTAAAAAAACACAATCAAATATATTTTTTTCTTTCTTCAAATGATTTTGGCGAAATATTGCATACAAAAATTTTCGTTTGTCCTAATGGCAAGATGACGTTGCTTTTTAAAGCGAAGATGCAAGTTCTGCTTTTTCGGCACAACAATATATAAATATATATATTTTAAAATATATTTATAAAATATATATATATATAAAATTTATAATATATAAATATATATATTGTATATAATAAAAAAAATTAATATATATATATAATATGTCGTGCCGAATAGGCAGAACTTGCGATCTGGTTTTAAATAGCAACGCTCATCTTGCCATATAGGAAATAAAAATTTTGTGTAGCAATAATTTCGCCAAAATCTTTTTAAACCTAACAAGAAAAATATATTTCACTGTTTTTGTTTGTTTTAAAAATTATTGTAAACAAATCTAAAATAATTTAGTTGGTTAGGCTAAAATAAAATTGTTTTTGTTAAAATAAGGTTAGGTATTTTCTAAGATTTTTTTGGTGCAAAATTAAAAATTTTTACATCAACTTTTAATGAAAAAAATAATCTTTAAAGTATAAGAGAAAATTTCAAAAAGGATTTAAATTTTTTAAATGGTTCTTGCAAATTTGACCAGTTTTACAATTCGGCCGACATATATAATATATATTATAAAATAAAATATAATATATATAATATATATATATATATAAATATATATATAATATATATAATATTTTATAACATATATAAATTATATAATAAATTTTATATATATTAATATATAAAAATATATAAATATAATATATATATATATATAATAAAATTATAAAATTTATATATAATATTAAAATTTATATTGTCGGCCGAATATTAAAAGGTAATTAGCAAGAACCTTTTAAAAATTTAAGTCATTTCTAAAATTTTCTCTTATACGTTTAAAGATTATTTTTTTTCATTAAAATTGATATAAAAATTTATAATTTTCACCAAAAAGGAACTTAGAAAACTTTCCCCAACCCTTTTTATAACAAAACAATTTATTTAGCCTAAAACCAACAAATATATTTTAAATTTGTTTACAATAATTTAAAACTAAACAAACACAGTGAAATATATTTTTTTCGTTAGGTTCAGAATGATTTTGGCGAAATTATTGCATACACAAATTTTCACTTGTCCTATATGGCAAAATGAGCGTTGCTATTTAAGCCAAGATCGCAAGTTCTGCCTATTCGGCACGACATATAGATATATGTATGTAATGTATATATATATATATATATATATATATATATATATATATTATATATATATATATATATATATATATATATATATATATATATATATATATATTTACTGGTCAATATATTTGCACATATATCTGGGTTTTCTTCTATCTTCTTACTAGTGCTCAGTTATTATGTGTACTGTTTCAGCTACCATTCCTATTACTACTGGTAGTGCCTCATTAACTAATACCACACTACTACAACAACTGCTATTTCTGCAGCTAATTCTTCGGCACCACTACTTCTACTTCTGCTACTACTGCCACTACTACTACTACTATTACTATTACTACTGCTACTGCCACTACTGCTACAACTACTACTGCTGCCACTACTACTACTACTGCTGCCATCACTACTACTATTACTGCTGCCACTAAAACGTGTAGTATTACAAGTACTCCTCCTACCAGTATATACTGATATTCTTTGTTTTTTTTTTCTCGTCTCATTTGTGAGGTGACAAGGGTCCAGGATAGACGGAAACGTTGTCATAGTGTTCCTTTCTAAAGTACACATCATTTGTGAACTTCTGTTTCGTGCTTATTATTATTATTCTTATCATTATTATTAATATTGATGTTAATGAGAATTCTCAAGTGTATATGTAAACACTTGTCTAAACCCTTAGGAAGTAATGCAATGAGCATGACTGTGGTAAGAATTCTCGAAAGTTTTCGGTTGAACCAGTTTACATTCATAATACATCTGAGTGGTTCACAAAAACAAACTCGAGAAACAGTGTTAAGTTATGTAAGTCATCAGCTAAAATGATGAAGGTAGTATGATACATCGCATTGGAAATATTTATATTTATTAAAAAATATTATGAACAGTTAGTGATGTCATGGGGACCGGTCAGCTGGAGTAAACGTGAGTCTCACCTTCCATAGCCTGCAATTGGACAGAAAATTATTCTCATTAATATTACATCACAAAAAATTATATCTCTATCTAGCACGTTTTAACGTACAAATTTCTATAAACTTTTACTGCAAAATTTCTTTCAGCGAGATAACAGCGAAATGAATCATCACTGCAAACAATAAGATGTTACTCACCATATCCACCATATCGTCGGCCATATCCGCCGAAGCCACCGCCAAATCCTCCCAAGCCACCACCGAATCCTCCCAATCCACCACCAAAACCGCCTACACCGTGGCCAAAACCACCTAAGCCGCCCCGAAAGCCACCAAAGCCGCCACCAATCCCTCCCAAACCGATTCCATGGCCGATTCCACCGAAGCCAATACTACGACCACCTGGAAAGAGAAAATTATTTTGGTTACGTCATACGATTTATGAAATTTATATCTTGACTGTTAATGTTCAGTAAATCAGAAAATACATCTCAAAAATGTATAAATTAATATTATCAGGTAAATAAACAAAATAACGTCAAAAGACCTAAAGAAAGAGTGGAAGTGCAAGATTCTGAAAAGATGGTGAGGATTACAGCTTCGATATAATATTCTACTCACCATATATAATTCCAGGTGCTGGAGAACCATAGGCGACGGCCACCATCACAGCCAACACAGTCAATATAGAAAAGAAACGCTGTCAAAGAGAAGGAGTAATATTTATAATGAGATAAGGATAACGAGAAGTAAATATATTAACATTTACGAAGTATCGCTAATAAACAGATCAAATTTTTTTAGGATCACTGCATCTCACGTATATATTAAAGCTATATACCATGGTTGTAGTTGTGTTGAGTATGGTAGCCACACTGATAACACGGGTAAGTGTCCAGAGCTTTATATATGACAGTGGCGCCGCCTCCCACTTGTTGTAACCTTCAGGTTTGTGTCTGGTATCATGCCAGAGTAATACCCGTTTAGCAGCCTTGTTTTTATTAAGGAAGCGAAGTTCATTGCTTTCAGATGCATTCATCTTTTATTAGGAAATTCAATGTATTTTATTATATTTATTATTTGCCTGCATCTTCAGTTATACAGATAATAACAGACAACGTTAATAATAATAATAATAATAATATAATAATAAATAATACTAATAATAATAAAAAATAATAATATTATTATTATTATTATTATATTATTATTATTATTATTATTATTATATTATTATTATTATATTATTATTATTATTATTATCATTGTTATTATTATTATTATTATTATGTTTATTAAATATCAATGTTTGCAAACGTAACGATGACAGTAAATCCTGTTTTAAAATAATATTCAACTACTTAAGAATTCCTACGTATACAGTAATTGTAAGTAGAAAACTTCAGTTCCTTATTAAAAATAAGACTGCTAAAGGAGGTACACACTTGAAGGTTACAGCAAATGAGAGGCGACACTTGTCGCCATAGTCATCACTATGGCTACGATCCTCAACCACAAGTACTGTGGTAAGAACTAAAACTTTATTATATATAATATAGATCTTGATAAATAAAACAGTTTGATCTGTCACTGATCATTGATTCATGATAACTTATATTATCATAACCTCATTTATAACGTTACTCTTTTCCTCTTGACAACGTTTCCTGTCTATGTTGACGGCGTTTCCCTTTTTGGTGGTTGTCATCTATGGTTCTCCAGCACCTGGAGTTATTTATGGTGAGTAGAATATTATTACAGAACTGTATCATCATCTTTCCAGCATCTTGCATTCCTTCTCTTTTCTTAAGGCTTTTGAGGATATTTTCCTCATTTATTTATTTATATTATTATTTTTTCCATGGCGAATAGTTTTCTGAAGTACTGCACACTATAGCAAATGAACAAGGAGGCTTTAGGAAGGGTAGGAGGTGTGCAGGCCAAGTGTTTGCAGTGAAACGCATAGGTGATTAGTATTTAGATAAGGGTAATTAGATTTTTGTGGCAATGATGGATTTGGAAAAGGAGTTTGATAGGGTGGGTATGGGGGCAGTGTGTCTGATATTGCAAAAGTATGGAACTGGAGGTAGGTTATTGAAAGCAGAGAAGAGTCTATACGAGGATAGTGAGGCTCAGGCTAGAGTATGCAGGTGAGATGGAGATTATTTCCCAGTAAAAGTAGGACTTTGACAGGGATGTGTGATGTCACCAAGGTTGTTCAATTTATTTATAGAGTTGTAAGAGAAGTGAATGCTCGAGTGTTGGCAAGGAGGTTTGGGGTTAAAAGATAAAGAATCTAACTCAAAGTGGGAGTTGTCACATATACTCTTTGCTGATGACACTGTGCTTTTGGGAGATTCCGAAGAGAAGTTGCAGAGGTTGGTGGATGAATTTTGTAAGGTATGTAAAAGAAAGAAAGTTAAGGTGAATTTAGGAAAGAGTAAGGTGATGACGATAACAAAAAAAAAGGTAATGGAAGATTTGACATCAGATTAGAGAGAGAGAGAATGGAGGAGGTGAATGTTTTCAGATATTTAGGAGAGGACGAGTCAGTAGATGGATTTTTGAAAGATGAGATAAATTATAGAATTAACGAGGGAAAAAAGGTGAGTCGTGCACTGAGGAGTCTGTGGAGACAAAGACTTTTATCCTTGAAAACAAAGAGGGGAATGTATGAGAGTATAGTTATATCAATGCTCTTGCGTGGGTCTGATGCATGTGTGGTAAATGTTACAACATGGAGAAGGCTGGAGGCAGTGGAGACATCATGTCAGAGGGTAATGTGTGGTGTGTCTATAATACACAGAATCCAAAACTATTATCCAGAGGGCTAATTAGGGGTTATTGAGGTGGTTTGGACATATAGAGAGGTTGAGACCAAATAGAATCATTTTGTGAGTGAATAAATTTGTAATGGAGGTAAGGTGGGGTAAAGGGTCGGACTAGGAAAAGTTGGAGGAAGGGGGTAAAGGAGGGTTTGTGTGCGATGGGCTTGGACTTCCAGCAAGCGTGCATGAGCGTGTAAGACAGGAGCGAAGGGAGACAAATTGGTCTTAGGACTTGACGTGCAAGGTAATATCTATGTAGGATTCAGGGAAACCGGCAGGCCTGACTTGAGTCCTGCAGATGGGAAGTATAGTGTCTGCACTCTGAAGGAAGGGTGTTAATGTTGCAGTTTTATAACTGTAGTGTAGGCATGCCTCTGAAAGGAAATTGATGGAGTGAATGATGAAGAAAGTTTTTCTTTTTCGGGCCACGCTGCCTTGGTGGGAAACGGCCGATATGTTAATAATAAAGAAAAACGATATACATGCATACATATATATATAAAATATATATATATATATATATATATATATATATATATATATATATATATATAATATATATATATATATATATAATATATACATATATATATATATATATATATATATAAATATATATAAAATATATATATATATATATATATATATATATAAAATATATAATATATATATATATGCATATATACATACGTATATATATATACATAATATATATATATATATATATATATATATATATAAAATATATATATATATAATATATATATATATATATATATATATATTATATATATATATATATATATATGTAAGGAATTCGCGAGAGCATGCGAAATATACACAAACACTGATCTCTGGCTGAAGGAGACTCGAACCTACGAACCTTAGGACAAGGTACGCAGTCCTTTACCAATCTACCCACACTGGACCAATACCTTGGCGTGTAGCATACGCTTCACGTTTGATCCAAGGCAGCCAGCTTTCAGGGAGAAGGCTTACAGCTTTTCATCTCATCCCCTGCATGCATCAGCCTTACTAGAGATTTGAACAATGCAAGGGCATTGCATTGTTCAAATCTCTAGTAAGGCTGATGCATGCAGGGGATGAGATGAAAAGCTGTAAGCCTTCTCCCTGAAAGCTGGCTGCCTTGGATCAAACGTGTAGCGCATGCTACACGCCAAGTTATTGGTCCAGTGTGGGTAGATTGGTAAAGCACTGTGTACCTTGTCCTAAGGTTCGTAGGTTCGAGTCTCCTTCAGCAAGAGATCAGTGTTTATATATATGTATATATATATAATATATATATATATATATATATATATATATATATAATTTTATTATATATATAAGTGTGCGTGTGTGTGTGTGTGTGTGTTGTGAGTGTGTGGTGTGTGTGCGTGTGTGGTAAAAAAAGAATGAAAATATGGGGTGGTGGGGAAGTGGAACATTCAAACGGCTTCAGGAAATAATCCAAATATTCTTCCCCGAAGCCTTTTTATCCATTTTGCCGTGGCTATTGGTATCACAATTTACACCAGAGGTGGTCCTAGGGGTTTAGACAAGTGTTTGCATATACACTTGAGAATTCTCATTAATATGAATGTTAATAATAGTAATAATAATAATAATAATAATAATAATAATAATAATAATAATAATAATAATAATAATAATAATAACAATAATAATAATAATAATATAATAATAATAATAATAATAATAATAATAAATAATAATAATAAAAATAATAATAATAAACACGAAATGGAAGTTCATAAATGATATGTAATTTAGAGAAGAACACAATGACGACGTTTCGGTCCATCCTTTTGTCTTTTCAAATGAGACGAAAAAAAAAAAAAATTTTCATATATACGGGCAGGAGGAAAACTTTTTGATTTTACAAGTAGAAAGGACACCCGTTTTAGTATTTTAAAATAGAAAGGGGCAGTTGAAGTAGAAAATAGTGGTGGTGCATGTAGTAATAGGGCATTTTAGTATTGGAGTAATAGGGGTGTTAGAAAGTGGCAGTAGTAGCAGTAGTATAGTTTGAATAGTAGTAGTGTAGTAAGTTTTAGTCTATAGTATTAGTAGTGTAGTAGTAGTATAATGGCTTATACAGTAGAAAGTAGAAGGGGTGGGGGGGAAGGGAATTTTGCTGCAGAAACAGAAGTTGTTGTGGGACTGTGATTTTTGTTAATGAGGCCCTCCCAGTGTAATACAAAATGCTAGAAGAAACAGTACAAATAAAAATTTGGGAAAAAAAAAAATAAAGAAGATAAAAAAAAAATCCAGGCGTTGTTTGAAAATAAACTTGTACATATACGTGTAAATATATTTTAAAAATATATATTATATATATATTATATATTTTTTATATTATATAAATATAATATATTAAAATATATATTTATATACATGTAAAATTATAATATTTATATATATATTTTATATAAAATATATATCTATATATAATATATATTTATATAAAATAATTTAAAATTTAATTTTAAATTTTTTAAAATTATATATATATATATATTTTTTTATATATATATATATATTTATAAATATATATATATAAAATATTTATATATATTTTAATATAATATAAAAATATATATATGAATTTTTAAATAACTTTAAGTATATATTTTACTATATATTTATATATTTTATATAATATAATATATATAATATATTATATATTTATATATTATATATATTTAAATATATTTATATAAAATATATTTTATTTTTTTTTTTAAAACACTGGCCGTTTCCCCACCAAGGGAGGGTGGCCCGAAAAAAAAAAACTTTCACCATTTTTCACTCTTTCACTGTTTTGGCAAACGGGGGTTTTTACACTACTTTTTTTTAAAAACTGCACATTAAACCCCTCCGCAGAGGAAAGTCCTTTTTTCCCATTTTCCAGGACTCAAGCCCGGGCCTCCCGGGTTTCCCCTGAACCCCCAATTTAAATATGTTTTTTTTGCTCACACTCCAACGGGCCACTTTCAAGTTTTAAAAACCATTTGTTTCCTTTTCGCTCCTAAAAACACCTCACGCATCCCCGCTGGAATTTCCAAAACCCCCTCGACACAAAAACCCCTTTTTAATCCCTCTCTCCAACCTTTTAAAGGGCCGACCCCTGCCTCCCCTTTCCCTTCCAATAAAGACTGTTTAAAACTCTTAAAGGGTATTCTTTTTC